CAAAAGATACAAGGAACACAACAATATGAATGTAAAATAAGTTGGTTATCCATCTTCTCAAACTGGATATCCACTGTGTTCATGTTGATTATCTAATGCGCTAATACTGGTTATCCAATGGATTTACATGGATATAAAAATTGTTTGAACTGGTTATCCAATGTGTTCATATTGATTATCCAATGCGCTAATACTGGTTATCCACTGTGTTCATGCTGATTATCCAACTTGTTTGTACTGGATATCCACTGTGTTCATGCATATCCATTTCTAATCTTTCAACGAGCATATCTCCCAATCCGTGAAGAATTTGTAAACGAATTATATATGAAATTTATAGTACTCATCGAGATCTATCCAACGAAATCCATAGTGAATATTTTTTCGGGCTTAAAAATGACTTAATTCTGACGGGCAGAATAGAGGTGGTTATCCATCTTTTGTTTTTTTTGAAGAGTGAATGTTAAACATATGATTGATAACAAGTATGAACCGAATGGATAATCACTCCAAACCGGTTGGATAATCAGCACGAACACAACGGATAACCATTTTTCAAAGAAAAACGAAAAACACATTTCTTCATTTCTGCCCGTAAAATTTAAATGCATTTAAAGTTCAAAAAAAATATTCAACATGGATCTTATCGGATAGATCTCGTCGAGTACTATAAATTTCATATATAATTCATGTTATAATTCTTTACGAATCATTAGATACAAGGAAAAGAATAATATGAATGTAAAATAAGTTGGTTATCCATCTTTTTAAACTGGATATCCATTCTGTTCATACTGGTTATCCAACTTATTTGTACTGAATATCCATCCATTTGGTTTGTATGCATATTCAACTCTAATCTTTCAACGGGCATATATCCCAATCTGTGAAGAATTTGTGAAGGAATTATATATGAAATTTATAGTACTCGTCGAGATCTATCCAACGAAATCCACAGTGAACATTTTTTCGGGCTTAAAAATGACTTAATTCTGATAGAAAGATTATCCAACTAATTAGTATTATTTATCCAACCTGGTTTTTGTTTTTATTATTTTTTTAAAAAATAATAAACTAAGTTGGTTATCCAACTCGTTTGTATTGGTTATCCAATCATTGGTTTGTATTGGATTATCCAATGCGCTAATAATGGTTATCCAATGAATTTACATGGTTATCCAAATTGTTTGAACTAGTTATTCACTTTGTTCATACTGGTTATCCAATTCGTGCATACTGGTTATCCAACTTACTGGATATCCAACTTATTTTGCCCATCAAAATTTAGTCATTTTTAAACTCAAAAAAAATATTCGAAATGGATCTTGTTGAATAGATCTCGACGAGTACTATAATTTTCATGCATAACACGTTCTCTAATTCTTTACGGATTATGAGATATGCTTGTCGAAAGATTAGAGATGTTTTTTTGGAAGAGAGAGAAAAAATGACAAGGACTATACTTATAAAATATAGAAAGATTGATAAAAAATACAATAAGGGCTAGAATGCAAAAAATAGGAGGGGGGCACGGTACCCCCGGATATACTGGATACAGACTCAAGCCAAACTACGACTCTTTTCTTTAAAGTAAAATTTAAATTGTAACTTTAGATTCATCTTCGTAACAAACCTATCTTTGGATTTATCTTTATATCGAACATATTTCATCTTTGCACAGAACCTATCTTTAATTCGTCGAATCTAAATGGGTTTTCTTTTGCTATGCACGTATTCTAATCTTTGTAATGGACCACAATTTAAAACTCCATTTAAGTGAATTAATCCAGACCCATAAATTATCTTTATATATACGAGTGGACCCTGCAAAGAAAACAAGCTTACTGTGGAGAGTTCCTAACTATTATACCAATTAATTAGGTCCATAGTTAGAAGTCCCGTGGCTGATTTTTCATCGTCACATTGTATTATAATTGAAGAATATGGATTCACTTCGGTAATCCTTCCCATCACTTATTTATATTTTTTTTTAAAAAAAACATTTACATCAAAACAATTAATTATATGTTATGACGTATATTAATGGTGGATGTTTCATTAAATTGTCTTAATGTTTTATCTTTCATTTATAACATAATCTCCATAACTCTGTAATTTTTTGTAAGTATAGAATTAATGTAATCTATATCTTAAGGTGATCATAAGTCTATAAGTAGAGACCAAAATAAATGGAAAATACACACCAATACTTGCATCAATTTCTTTATTCTCTATTTCCTTTACTTAGCCAATTTTTTTTTTATAACTTTACAGAAGTTTTACTTAGCTCTTTCTCCCGAAACTAATTATTATGATCATATTAATCATGATAATCCTTTGATGTGAGTCTTTCTAAACTATCTTTTTAAGTTTTTTCTTTTCATGCTTAAGATTTAGTAAATTCATAATTAATTAAGTAAATTTGAAAGGCAAAAAGAAAATAGTTTTACTTAAAGATTAACCTCTTAAATTTTATTTTTTCAGGTTTCCCTACTTCTTTCCGCGTTGAATTTAATTGATGGATACAACCATTCAATAATGAGTCTTTGAGGGGTCTTAGACAACTGAAAAGAATCCCAAGAGTTTTTTTTTTTTGGTTGCAAAAACTAAAAAAATTAATGAAACAGTTTTGCATAACCAATTTAGAAATATAGCCATTCCTGATGTATTACCTTTGATTTTTTAACTAGCTTTCCTATTCATTAACTTTGGTTTTTGGTTTTTTTTTTTTTTGGGTGGGGAATTTGTATGTTAGGTAAAAAGAAAAAAAGTAAAAGGTGGCCAGACAATGAAAAAATTACAAGTAATAATTTACAATTTCTTGAATACAAAAATGAATATTAGGTGAATTTGATAAGTTAAATGATAGTTTCAAGTTTAAAAAACTATTAGCATTCCGAATTATTCATTGCCTTTTCTTTTTGTTTTTTTTCTTTGGAACTTAATGATTACGGAAATGTTTTATTGATGAATAACTCTAAAGTGAAATAATATTAATATTTTTGTAACTTAAATTAATTTTGATGGTATATACTAGAATGAGATTTTTTTTTCATTCTCTCTTTTTCTTTCACTTCAAGTGCATTTGTTCTCTATACGTCGTGATCTCTCCATCCCAAATCCTTGGAAGTAACTAATAATTTATTTATTTTTTTTTGATAAATTTGCTAAGAATTTGTTTGTTTGTTTTAATGAGTGTAATGAACAATTAAGTGACCCTCAAAATTTTTATTATTAAATTCCATATTTTTCTTTTGATATATTTGTCTTTTTAATCATCATTTTAACCATGATAATCCTTTGATGTGAGTCTCTGTATATTCTCTTATTCATTTTTTCTTTTTCAAGTTTAAGATTACACAAAGTCATAATTAATTAAAAAAAATTGACCGGCCAAAAAACGGTTTCACTTAATGATTTTCACCTCTTCAAATTTTGTTTTACCAGGTTTCCGTTTCCCTACTTTTTTCGGCTTTGAATTTAATTGATGGATTCAATAACAAGTCTTTGAGGGGTCTTACCCAACTGAAAAGAATGCCAAGGGTTTTTTTTTTTTTTTTTTTTTTGCAAAAGCTAATAAAATTAATGAAAGAGGTTTGTGTCGAGGGTAAATCCCGGGGGCGGAGAGTCAACGGTCCGACCTAGACGGGAACCTGCAAAACGGAGGTTAGCACTACGAAGATCAAGTCAATTCTAGGGAGAGAAGCAAACAATTATTACACTTAGAGAGAGAAACGGGAGTGTGAAAATTGAATCAGCAATAAATGAACAAGGAGTATTTATAGGTCCCCAATTGGACAATACCTGTGGGCCCCTATGTTGAGAGGGGCAAAAGCGTAAATAGACATGTGTTAATTCCTTGTAAACCGGTTGGGCCCAAAGGAATAAAATAAATGGACGACTTGGGCCTGTAAGATGAGCCCAAGTCGGATGGCAAGTTGGGCCGGTCAAGAGGGGTCAGGATTGACCTCCAACAAATGCCCCTGTCAAGCCCATTGCAGCAAAGTTGGATTGGGCTTGACACAAAGAAATGGCAAGCCCAACAAACCGGCCCGATTTCTAGAATATTCCATCTCATGGCCGCCTTGGATCCAACGGCCCCGGGTTCTTCCCGCTTAAACGAAATGGACGCGTAGGATTTCATGGGAGGCCGCGCCGCAATGATGGCGTCGGATGGAAATCGAGGGGACTGTTCACCTTCCTTGGGAGTATATAACCCCCCCACAGGACACCGTACTTCATTTCTTTTTCTCCTTTTTGCTTTCAAGTGTTAAACTGAGCTCCGATTTCCTCTCTTCTATTCCCTTCTTCTTTCGGAACTGAGAGCATATTTCTGTTCGGAAATCGGAATCACAGCCGGCGACGATCCGTAGGCAACTTGTAACCGACCCTAAACAAGTAAGTCTCCTTCTTCTTTTGTACGTTCGATTTATCAGATGGCCAAAGAAGTAGTTAGGGTAGAGGATGTTGAGTGCTCGTTAACCCAGGATAGGTTAAGCGACTTAGAAAACAACTATAGCCTTACGGCCATCAACCCCACCTTACCAGAAGGCCATGAGAGGGCCAACACTCCCCCTCCGGAGAAAATCACAATTTACGAGAAGTTTTTGGAATACAGGCTGCACTTTCCTCTGATGCCTATGTTCTGGATGATAGTGGAAGCCTACGGCCGACCCCTAGCCCAATATACCCCGAACCTAATAACCATAGTTTTAGCCTTCGTACATGTATGTAACAAGACGGGGGTAGAGCCAGATATCTTCTTATTTAGATGTTTTTACAAACTCGTCTGATGCGGGAAAAGTTTCCCCGGATGGTTCAGCTTCACCAAGAATCCACACAGACCTTCCAAAGAACTAGTAGCGAAGAACGAGAGTTCCAAGCATTGGAGGTCGGGGTTCTTTTACGTGGACGCGGACTTCGTCTCCCTCTTTCCGTGGACGTTGGACGAGGGAGGAACGATCAGCCTAGACCCGTGGACCAAGAAGGATAAGAAAGACATGGAAGTCCAGAGGGGGGACTTAGAGAAATTGGTCGGGTGGAAGAAGACCTACACCTATAGGCAAATCGCATCATTAAGAGATATGATAAGATCTCGTAACCAAGGTATTTTACCCGAAGACTAACTTTGTTTATTTCTCTGTTGATAGGTATATTTGCTAATCTGATGGGTAAACGCTCGGCTTTTGATGATTCAGACGAGGAGGAACAATATCCCGAGGAGAGGCCACAAGGAACTCACCAGCCGGAGATGGGACAAGCACCCCCCAGTCAGATGACGAGGGCGCGTGCCAAAAGTTCGAGGAAGAGGAACCCCTTGGGCCAAACCTCAGGTCATCAAAAAAGGAAGCGCGGAGATCCGGAGGTAGTGGAGGTCGATCCGTTGTCATTTAGCTTACCCGCGATCCACGAATTATCCTCCATTGACAAACTTCTGAAAGAAGGATACGCGGATCAAGGGTGGGGAGCCGAACTGTTCGAGGGCGTACCCAGGAGTCACGCTTTGCTAACGTTCGACCCTCCACGGGTCGAATGTGCGGACCTGCCCGATGCCGGGGTGCCGAGGCTGGAGGACGGCATGAGACAGGTAGAACTTTCGTGAATTTTCGCTTAAGTATTTTCCCCTCGTAGTTGGGTGTTTCTTTACTGACCTAGGGTATCCGCCACGCAGGCTGTGCAGGCAGTGAATTCGTTTGTGACCGTGTGCGCGGACTTGGAGGGGCAGCTGGTTTCGGCCAGGAAGAAGGCCACAAGCGAGGAAAACAGAGCCGGAGAGGCGGAGACGCAGCTCCAGGCCTTGGAAGAGGAGAGAGGGCGCCTGGAAGAGGAGGTCACGAGGATGAAGGGGTAGCTCGAAGGCATGGAGCTGACCCACAATCTTCAAATGGAGAGTCTGCTGACTACAAGCGTCCCCAAATCTCGCCTGGACGCGTACATCCTTGCGGGAGTGCAGAGGTACCTGGGGTCGTCTGAGTTCGCCCTCGGGATAAACGACGTCATGGACCCCGCCATGGAAAGGGGGGCGAGGAAGGTCGTCATAGAGATCAAGGCGGCCCAGAGGAAGAACGAGGACATGCAACCCATCCTCGACAAATATGCTGATAGGGAGATGAAGGGGAAGACGTCTGCGGTACGGCTGCGGTGCAAGGCCCGGAAGCACTTTCGGGATATGGACTTCGCGCATCTCCCCATCATGCAACAAATCGCCGGGACTTGCCCCTCCATCTCAAAGCCCGAGGACATTCTAAATATCCCAGGCAGCCCTTCGTTCGTCTTCCAGATGCCGAGGGGGACGCAGACGCCTCTGAGTACGCCACCGGGGCCTGATGAGGAGCCGGAGAGAGTCGCATCTGCACCTCCACCCCAAGTGCACAACTGTGGAAGCCGACGCGGAGGAGGAACCTCGACCGACTCCAACACCAACAGTGGAGACAAGGTGAACGATGCGTAGGGTTAGGATTCCTAGTGATCACCTGTCTTCCGGGCTCTCCCCGTTGTATCTATGAACTTTAACCGAGTATCAATGAACTTTTAATTTACTCAGGGTTGATATGTTGTTTCCTCGTTCCCTTGTTTCAAACTCGTTCGTTTATCAAACTTGATTATAATTATGATTTATCAAGTATCTATTCATCGGTACAAACTTATTTTTACCTCTGGGAATGCACGCCTCCTAACCTTTCCATTAAATGCGCTTCCTTACAGGGGAAGGACGCGGCTTCGGACTTCCCCCTTCAGCCCGAGGGAACCCCTTGAGGCGTGCCCGCGACTCCGGGTCATTGAGAAACGTCCGGGATTCCCTGGATCAACTTACAATTGCCCGATCCTCATCATGACCCGACAACCTTTCCACTGTACGCATCCGTAGGAAGCGCCTTGGTGGATCTGAACGTCGATAGGAGCCGAGGACGACTGTCGGGTCTCGAGGGCCAGCTAGAGGAGGCCTTGCAAACTTTCAGGGCCTCGGAGCTACACGAGGCACGTAAGGCCGGCATCGAGGTGAAGGCCAAAAACGACCGGTTGGATAAGTTATGGAGGGATACGGAGGCCTATTGGGAAGACCACCTGATGAACTCTATACAGTTAGAGATGTTGGTTAACAATCGCCTTCGGACATTCGAAGCCAAGATACGGAAAAAGAAGAAGGACGAGGGCTTAGCTGAACCCGACCCGGAGGATTTTATCCCCCGCAACTATTTTGAGAGTGTCTTGGTACATCTCCGGAAGGCTTACGCCTTGGTTGCTGTGAACTGGGATCGGTCCTCTGACAAGATCGAGGCTCTTCGGACGTATGCTGGTCAGCTTCGGGCAGCTTTGGAAAGCGCGATATCCTTCTTCGTAGAGACGGGAAAGGAGTATTATTTTGAGGCATTGTGGCCCGAACTCTGTCCGGCCATGCGGGACGACCCCACTTCTCTGACTCGTGAAGCCGAACGCTTAATATATGAGAACGACGCTCTGTTCTTCGAATTGGGTCAGGGGTCTCACTAGGGACATGTAATTAGGTTAGGTGATTTTTGGTTAGGTAATAGGTGATTTTTGGTGTGTTTTTGCCAAATGTATAGATCCGAGGCCATTCACACATATATAATTGATTCATCCTTTTTGAACGTCGACTTGTTTTTGCTTTTTCTTACTTACTCGTTTTATTATTATTCATGCTTTTACGGTTGTGTATGTAAAATTCTGTTTATTGCCGACGCTCTTTGCTATGGTCTGACGGAGGTGATACGAGTACCTTCCCCCGGATTTTATATTTCAACCGTATTACTAATATTACACTAATTTAGTTGATGCTTAGTTAAACCGTACCTGACCGAGGATCGTGGGGGCCTTCGGAGTTCCGTAGGCCGCGAAGGCCACACGGTGCCGTCGGCCACTGGGGTCGAGACGGCTTTGTGAATGCCCCAAGGTCACGGAGACCATAGGGGTTCCGTAGGCCGCGGAGGCCACACGGTGCCGTCGGCCACTGGGGTCGAGACGGCTTTGTAAATGCCCCAAGGTCACAGAGACCGTAGGGGTTTTGTAGGCCGCGGAGGTCATACGGTGCCGTCGGCCACTGGGGACGGCTTTGTGAATGCCCCAAGGTCACGGAGACCGTAGGGGTTCCGTAGGCCGCGGAGGCCACACGGTGCCGTCAGCCACTAGGGTCGAGATAGCTTTGTAAATGTCCCAAGGTCACGGAGACCGTAGGGGTTCCGTAGGCCGCGGAGGCCACACGGTTTCAGGATGGAATTTGTATGAAGGCACAGAAAGTAGTATATTAATAGCGAAGGTGCCGGAGTTCTGCTTGGCTAATATCTATTACAAAAGTAGGCTGAAGCCTTCAGATATTGAACTTTCTGAGGTTCTGGATGTTCCACCATCGGGGGATGTCGTGAGGCTCGTCATCACACGTGCGCAGGCGATAACTCCCTAAGGGAGAAACTTCGACAACCTTGAATGGTCCTTCACAATTCGGAGCTAACTTTCCGGTCGGCTCGGCATGGCTCACCTCATTCCGTCGGAGGACTAAGTCTCCGACTTCAAAGTCCCGGGCCCTGACCTTGGCATTGTAGTACTTGGCCATGATCTGCTTGTATTTGGCTTCGCGGGCTTTGGCCAGGTCTCGCTGTTCGTCCAGGAAATCGAGGCACAGGCGGATTTCGTCTTTGTTCTTTTCTTCTGCGAAGTTGACCACCCAGGGACTGGGCACCTCTATTTCAGCTGGGAGGACGGCTTTCATGCCATAAACGAGGCTAAAAGGGGTTGCCCCCGTGGCCGTCCTCATAGTGGTGCGGATGGCCCAGAGGACGTGGGCCAGCTCCTCGGGCCATAGCCCCTCGGCTTTCTTAAGCCGTGTCTTCATGCCTTGTAAGATGGCCTTGTTTATATTTTCAGCCAATTCGTTGGCCTGAGGATGGGCCATGGACGAAAACCATTCGATCCCGAGCTGCTCACACCAAGATGTAAAAATCCTCAATTCAAACTGAGTTCTGTTATCTGAGATGAGGACTTTCGGGATCCTGAACCGACAGACGATGTTCTTCTAGAAGAATTTGGCCACGTTTGCCCCTGTGGTAGAGGCTAGAGGTTCCGCTTCGACCCATTTAGAAAAGTAGTCAATTGCAATGATCACGAACTTGAGCTTACCCGGGGCCAATGGGAAAGGCTCTATTATGTCCGTCCCCCACTTGTAGAAAGGCCACGGACTGCCAATAGGGACCATCTCATGTTGGGGTAGATGCGGAATAGGGGCACGTTTTTGGCACTGCGCGCACCGAAGGACAATGTTGTAGCAATCTTGGGACAAGGTAGGCCAGTAATATCCGGCAGGGATCAGTTTCTTGGCCAAATTACGTGAACCTAAGTGAGCCCCACAAACGCCTTCGTGCATGCTCCGGATCAAGGTCTCAGCTTCCTGCGGCCCAACACAGCGTAGCAAGGGCGTTAGGTACCCTCGCTTGTAGAGGATGCCATCCCTCATCAGATATTTTGGCGCCTTGAGCCGAATCCTCCGGGCCTCTCTTGGGTCCGGGGACAATGCCCCGGTCTGGAGGTACTGGACAAAGGGTGTCATCCAAGATACCTCGTCCATCATCACAGGTAAGACTTCGTCGTCCAGGATACTCGGACGCGTCTTGACTTCCATGTGAATCTGCTGTGCTAAGCGTATGGCGCGAGAAGAAGCTAACTTACTTAGAGCATCAGTCCTTTTGTTCTGCCACCCCGGTATGTACCGGATGTGGAAGACATGGAAGCCGCGTGTCAATACCCTGAATTTTCGAAGATACTTTTGGAGCACCATCTCCCGACCTTCGTACAGTTGAAGGACATGATTGACAACTACCAAAGAATCACTGCAAACTGAGATTTCCTGAACACCAAGAGCACGGGCAATAGATAGCCCCGCGATCAGTGCTTCATATTCGGCCTCATTGTTTGTGGCAGGAAAATCCAGCTGGATGGTATAAACAATTTCTGACCCGCAGGGGAAGATCCTTCAGGCACATTCACTAGCCTCAGCTTCCACTCCCTGAGGTACTTCGACGAGGAAATCGGCCAAAGCTTGGCCCTTGATGGAGGTCCGAGGCCGAAACTCTATGTCGTGCTCCTCAAGTTCCACAGCCCACTTAGTCATCCAGCCCGATATGTCAGATTTCGGTAAAATCTGCTGTAGGGCTGATCCGTAGGAACGAGGATCGGGTGCGCTTGGAAATAGGGGCGTAGCTTTCGGGCCGCGGTTACAAGGCAAAAAATCAACTTCTCAGCAGGGGTGTACCAAGACTCGGCGAGGAGAAGGACCTTACTGACATAATAAACAGGGATTTGCTTTCCCTTATGTTCCCGCACCAAGGCTGCACTCACCGTGGACTCGCCCACGGCTAAATACAAAATCAAAGTTTCCTCCGGGTCCGGCGTGCTCAGGGTCGGGAGAGTCCTCTAGTGTTCTTTAAGTTCCATGAAGGCTTTCTAACAAGCCTCGGTCTAGCCGAAGGTATCTGACTTCTTGAGCACCTGGAAAAATGGCAAGCTTCGTTTGGCTGCCTTTGACAGGAATCGCCCTAAGGCGGCAATAGAGCCTGTAAGTCTTTGTACTTCTTTGACAGACCGCGGAGGCTGCATTTCCAGGATGGCTTTCACCTTTGTAGGATCCACATCAATCCCTCTCCGAGAAATCTGATAACCCAGGAATTTTCCCGACCAGAAGCAGAACACACATTTCTTCGGATTCAAATTCATATTAGCCGCTCTGAGGGTCTGGAAGGTCTCTTGGATGGACCCGACGGTTACTCTTACCTAAAGGAAGTCACGTCCCTTTTTTGCGGCGATAACCCTGCACTGTGTCGCCAATTGCTGGTCTCCCCGAACTTCTGCAATCCCAGCCTCGATCAGGAACTTCATGACCAGATGGTAGGGCGAGTAAATGGCCTTCGCTTGACTCATCCAGGGCCGTCCCAGAATGATGTTGAAAGGGGCCACGACATCCACCACCGCAAAGTCGACGAGAATCACCCGATCCTTGGGATAAGTCCCTACGGTGACAGCCAAGCTGATTATGCCTAACGGCATTATCACGTGGTTAGAAAAGCCAACCAGAGGTATGGATGTGGGGCGAAGCTAAGTTTTGTTGAGGCCCAACTTCTGGAAACAATCAACGTACATGACATCCACTCCACTGCCATTATCAACGTATACTCGTCGAACTTCCCTGTTGGCGACTATGGCCGTGATGACTAGCGCGTCGGAATAATCTTCAGATCCACCCACCAAATCCTGCTGTGAGAAGGATATCACTTCCCCGGGATGGAGGCGTTTAGCCTCAGACTCATCCGGCGGCCGGGGGCGCGAGCTTCTGCAGAGAGCGGCAACACTCCGGACCCCCAAGGGTGCCCCGAAGATAGCGCCTACAGGAGCCGCCAAAATCTGCCCTGCCTGCGCCGGATCGACACCATCCTGGGCTTTGGCCCC